GGGAAAAAAAACACATAAAAGCATCTGCCCTCTCAACCCTTATATTCTAGTAGGACAAGGCAGACAATAAACAAGGAAGTAAATTACATTCTATTTTATAAGGTGCTAAGAGCCACAGAGAAGAATTAAGCAAGGTTGTACTGGGGGGGGAGATGAAATTTTAAATAGTGGTCAAAGAAGGCATCATTGAAAAGCTGACATTTAAGTAAAGACTGGAAGCTATTGAGGGAGCAAGCTACATGGGTATAAGGAAGAAGAAGAGCATGTCAGGTAGAGGGCATAGCAAGTGCAAAGGTCCTGAAGCCCCAAAGGTATCCAGAGGACTCTCTCTTCAAAGTTGCTTTTGCTTGACATGAAGGCAGACAGCAGGGGCTAAAAAAACATCATCACTTTCCCAAAGAGTGGAACAGCTGAGCATCTCTGGTCAAGCTATTTTTTGTTTGATGGACCAGGCTGGTTTGCCTAACCAAAGATGCACAGAACAAGGATATTGCTCTGGATCGGGGACTGACATTCATTATCATTCAGACCTACTGGTTCTCCAATGAGATAGAACCACATATACTTTTGGCTCAAATTCCAATTATCATTTTGATCATGGCCTCACAATAGAAGTACTTAATAACTCCAAGGGGGAAAGCGAGAGTACATTAAGATTCAAGGGGGGAAAACTTCCCTTTGTTTTCAGCTAAATTCTTTTTGTTCCAACAATTAGACTCATTTGACAATATTTTGTGTATTTGTAATCCATTGTAAAGATTTTGACTTTTAGTGAAATGGAAACTCATCAGAGAAGAAAAATGACCTGATCCTACTTATATTTTTAAAAACGTATTGTGGTAACATATGCATAAAATCAACCATTTTAGACATTTGTGTTACAGTTTGGTGACCTGAAGTGCATTCACATGGTTGTGCAACCATCACAACTATCCACTTCCAGAACTTTTTCATTCTCTGTTCTGTAACTCTGTACCCATCAAACAATAACTCATCATTTCCCTTCCCTCTGGCAGCCACTGTTACTTTGTGTGTCTATGAATCTGACTACTCTAGCTACCTCATATTAGTGGAATCACACATTTGTCCTTTTGTGTCTGGCTTATTTCACTTAGCATAATGACTTCAAGGTTCATCTATGCTGTAGCATGTACCAGAATTTCATTGTTTTGATGGCCAAATAATACTCCATTATATGTATATACTACCTTTTGTTTAATCCATTCACCCACTGATGGATATTTGGGTAATTTCCATCTTTTGGCTGTTGTGAATAATGCTGCTATGAACATGGGTGTACAGATATCTGTTGGAGTCCCTGCTTTCAGTTCTTTGGGGTATATGCCCAGAGAAGGAATTGCTTATCAAATGGTAATTCTATATTCGATATTGTGAAGAACTGCCATACCGTTTTCCACACCAGCAGCACCATTTTACATTCCCACCAAGAGTGCACAAGGGTTCTGATTTCTCCACATCCTCACCACCAACACTTGCTTTTGTTTTTGATAGTAGCCATCCTAGTGGGTGTGGTGTGGTCTCGCTGTGGGTTTTTTTGTTTTTGTTTTTAAAGATTTTGTTTATTTACTTGACAGAGAGAGACAGCGAGAGAGGGAACACAAGCTGGGGGGAGTGGGAGAGGGAGAAGCAGGCTTCCCACCAAGCAGGGAGCCCAACATGGGGCTCGATCCCAGGACCCTGGGATCATGACCTGAGCCAAAGGCAGACATTTCACCGACTGAGCCACCCAGGCGCCCCTCGCTGTGGGTTTTGATTTGCATTTTCTTAATGATTGCTGGACCATCATTTGGAATGATGCTGAGCATATTTTCAAGTGCCACACTTATATTTTACAAGCATCCCTCTGGCTGCTGTACTGAATGGTCTCAGCTATGGGATGAAGTGGAGGGTAGGGGGCAAATGTGGAAAGAGGAAGATCAGTTGGAAGGCTATTGCGGTTGTCTAGGTAAATCACAATGGTGGCTTGGAACAAGATGATAGCAGTGGAACTGGCAAAAATTCATGGGATTCTGGATAGATTCTGAGGCTAGAGCTGATAAGATTGCAAGAGGAGTGTGAAAAAGGAGTCTGGAATGACTCCTCTGTTTGTGGCTGTGCAAATGTCCATTTACTGAGATCGTAACGGTAGGGGAAGAGTATGTTGGGCAGGTGAGATGTCAAGAGACCGACTTTGGACATGTTAAGTTTGGATGCCTGTTAGACTTCCAAGTGGAGATGTCATGTTGACAATGGATATGGGAGTTTGGAGATCAAGGGTGTTTCAGTTCTCTTTTGCTGCCTAATAAAATACCCCAAAACATGGAAGTTTGAAACAGCAACAATTTTTTTTTTAAGATTTTATTTATTTATTTGAGAGAGAGAGAATGAGAGAGAGCACATGAGAGGGGGGAGGGTCAGAGGGAGAAGCAGGCTCCCTGCTGAGCAAGGAGCCCGATGCGGGACTCGATCCTGGGACTCCAGGATCATGACCTGAGCCGAAGGCAGTCGCTCAACCAACTGAGCCACCCAGGCGCCCAATTTATTATTTCTTAACAATTCTGTGGGTTGACTGGGCTACGCTGGACAGTCCTGCTCTATGTGGCATCAGTTGGGGTCACTCACGAGGCTGCATTCAGCTGGCAGCTGGCCTGGCGCCTCAGTGCTCCCCCTTGGACCCCCCCGTGTGGTTAGCTTGCAGCACGGCCGTCACAGAACTGACTTCTTACACAGTGGCTAGCTTCTCCCCAGGGGATTAGAGCATAAGCTGTCAGCCCTTTTTCGTTTTTTTTTTTTTTAATTTTAGTTAACATACTGTGCACTATTGGTTCCTGGAGTACAGCTGTCAGGCCTCCTAAAGGGTAGATCCAAACTGACTTAGCATCTCTTCTGCTATATCCTGTTGGTCAGAACAAGTCACGGGGCCAGAGGAAACAGACTCCACCTTTTGAGGAGAACAGCGGCCTATGCCTGTGGGGATGGGAGGAATCCTCGGCAGCCATCTCTGGAGACCAAGCACCACAAAGGGAGCGATCAGGGCTGGGGATGGCAGTTTGGACGTAATCAGAAGATAATCACCATTAAGGTCATGGTACTGGATAAGCTTACCCAGGGAATAACTCTAGGTAGAAAAGAGATGGAAAGGCTGATCTCCAGGATATTCCAACATTTTGCATTTGAAGGAGAAGCCAGCAAATGAGACTGAGAATAAACAACTAATAAGTAGGAGGAAAACCCAGGAGAGTGAGGTGTGGCTGACGTCAGATGCAGATAGCATTTTAAGAACGAGGGTGTGTCAGTGTGGTAAATGCCGCCGAGAGTTCCACGTGAGACTAGAGATGAAGGCTGACAACTGGTTTTGACCAAGTGGACTGAGGTGTTAGTTCATCCTGAGGAGGCCGTCGATGTCCTCAGGATAACAGCCGAAAAATGCAAAACGCAGAGGAGACGAAGACTGTGAAGTAGGAGTCAAGGCCCTTAAGGACTGTGAGGGAGCGCCCAGACATATTGTCAAGGACACTGGCATGGCATGAATTTTTTAAGGCGGGAGGGGACATGTGTTTTTAACAAGTGAATTTAAGTTTATATTTAAATTCCAGTTAACATACAATGTAGTATTTGTTGCAGGTGTGCAATGTAGTAATTCAACACTTCCATACATCACCCGGTGCTCATCACAAGGGCCCTCCTTAATCCCTATCACCTGTTTAACCCATCTCCCCACCCACCTCCCTTCTGGTAACCAGCAGTTTGTTCTCCATAGTTAAGAGTCTGTTTCTTGGTTTTAAGAAGTGAATTTTTTTTTTTTTAAGATTTTATTTATTTATTTGAGAGAGGGAACACAAGCAGAGGGAGAGGGAGAAGCAGGCTTCCCGCCGAGAAGGGAACCCAACGTGGGGCTGGATCTCAGGACCCTGGGATCGTTAACGACCCTCAGTCGTTAAGCGTCTGAGCCACCCAGGCGCCCCAAGAAGTGAATTTTAAAATGACGTTAAAACAGTATTTTAGAGTTCTAACAACGAGTAAGCCAGAAACTAGCTGGACCTACAGCCAAGGTGTGAGCCCCTGAGCTGCTTCCTCCTGAGGCACAAGACCCCTGCAGACCTCAAGAGAAAGCCAGGTATCAGTGAGATGGGGAGGGAGACAAAGGAGGACTGAGAAACAGATGGAAAGCATAGATACGTATTTTGGTGGTTGAAATAAATTCCAGAGATCACGGCAGGGTAATCGAGAAGGGACATGGCATGGAAGGGTGTAGGTCAGCAGGTGCAGGGCAGGGGACTGAACTGCAAGGGAGGGAATGCATGGGCCACTGGCTTCGGTGACCATGAAGACGGGCATGAGGTAGCAGAGGCGGCGCTGTGCGGGCCTGAGGAGAGACTCGGGTTTGCGTCCTGCTTCCCCACTGCCTAGCTGTGCGGTGTGCGGCTAACACGTGGGCCACCAAGTCAGTGCAGCTCCTATTAGAGAACTTAGGTGGCAAGTGACAGAACACGGACTTTAAATTGGCTTAAACAAAAATAAAGATTACCTCCCATACCTGGAAATTCCAGAGAAAGGTAGCATATTTTAGGGATTGTCTGACTCAGCAACCCAGTGATGTCATCAAGGGCCCAGTTTCTTTATATTTCTCTGCTGCCCCTTTTATGGTAGTGGTTTCATTCTAAGACTGGTTCCATCTCCCGGTCACTATGTAAATATAAATTATATATAAATATAAACATTGGTATTTCCTTTTACACATCTAGAGAGAAAGACTCCCTTTTGTTAGCATTCTTGCAGGTGAGAACATGTCTTTGCCATAAGCCCAGCAAGTGTCTCCTGGAGTCTCATTTGGGTTGAATTTGGTTAACATGTCCAATCTGAACCCATTCCTGCGGTCTGTAAAATGCCAAGTGCTGGACACTGGCTGTACCAAAAATTACCCGGATCGGCATGCTCCCCCGCCGCCTTAACCCAAACCAAATGAGCCCCACGTTGGGTATAGAGATTACTTGAATGAATTTTAAAATATATATCCCCAAAAAAGGGGGTTCGGCTTTTTATTGAACAGGTTACAGAAGAGGTTTAGTCAAAAAGATCAAAGCCCACGTCGTCAGCAGACTCCTCGGATTCTTGCTTCCACTTTCTTCTCCTCAGCTGGGCAGCAGGGCTGGAGGGCGCGGGGCCTCCTGCTGGCGCAGCACCAGCTGCCGGGCGGGTCCCTCAGCCCCTGCACTGCAGCCGAGGCTCCGATGTAGACTTTGGCCAGGACCTCTGCAAGCAAGCCGGGCCAGAAAGGTTTAGCGCCGACCCCCGCTGCTTTAACGAGGGCATCGATCTCGTCCTCGGCCTATCAGCTCATGGTTGCGCAGGAGGAGGGCCCAGCAGACACAGGCGAGCGCCGAGACGGAGGCCGTGGTGCTGCCAGGCCCGGGCCCCGTGCTGGTCGCTGGATGAAGCGGCCTTAGCTTCTCTGGAAAGACGAGCATCTTGGCGCCTTTGGCCTCATTTCTGATTATCACAGTATACAAATTTATCCAAATCTATCCACACGAGTCCAGCCAAGTTGGACTTTTGGTGCTTCACGATGGCCCGTCTGCTCTGCCTTTGTGCAGGCTTTTCCTTTGCTTTCACTGTTGTCCTAGCTTTCCTGGCTGAGACCCTCTTCTCTCGGAAGCTGAGTTCCAATGCTTCTTCTTCTTTTTTAAATAAGGATCTGTTTAAGTAATCTGTACACCCAGTGTGGGGCTTGCCCTCATGACTCCGAGATGAAGATCCTACGCTCCACCGACTGAGCCAGCCAGGCGCCCCTCAGATGCTTATTCTGTTGTAGGCTTCCCTGGTCTATCCAGGCCCATCCTCTCACTAATAAAGGGCAACCAGTGTTATCTACTAGTGGGCTTGTCTCAGCCGCTCTAGATTCTCAGGTTGAGGACAATGAAGTTCTCCTCCTCCTCCTCCTCCTCGTGCTGTATTTGCTCAATTTAAAACTGTTGTGTCCGCCGTGCATACAGAGGGGAAGGAGAACAGCATTCCGTAAGCGCCGCTGAGCTGGTGTTCCGCTGGGACTCGAGCCGGCTGGCGGGACACCCGCAGTGTAGTGGCGCCGCCCCAGGGACCTGACGCTCTCAGGGCTGATCTTCTGTCCTCGGTGTGACCGTATTTGCCAAAAGCCTTGCCGCAGTGGGCCTTCAGCTCATAGAAAGGCTGAGTTTCTACTGCCAAAGTGAAGGAAAGAACTGAGACAACTTAATGAGACATTTTACAGATTGCTCAGGGGAAACAGAATCTCTCTTTGAAATTACTGAGTCATTTCAGTTTTAATTTCAGAATCATACAAAGCACTGTCATCTGTATTATTATTATTTTATTTATATATATATTTTTTAGAGAGGGTGAGAGAGAATTGCAAGCAGATTCCATGCTGAGTACAGAGCCCAACACAGGGCTCGATCTCACAACCCTGAGACCATGACCTGAGCTGAAACCAAGAGTCGGACGCTTAACCAACTGAGCCACCCAGGTGCCCCATCATCTCTATTATTGAGCAATGGCTTTCACAACTTTTTTTTTGCCATGACTCAGAGTAAAAAAAAATAACAAATACCCTTTCCATCATGACCCAGAGGTCACATATACTCATTCATTCATTCCTTCAATAAGCAGGTACTGGTCACCTTCTATATGCCAAATACTAGTCTAAGCAAAATACACTTATGAACAAAAAGGAAAGGAGGGAAGGAAACAAAAAATATTGCCTCAAAGACCTTACATACTGGTACAACATACAACAAACAAAATAAGTAAAACACACAAACACACAGAAACAGAAGATTCATGAAACAAAACCTATTACAACATGCCATGCACTCTCATGTTTCCTATTTTTCAAAAAAAAAAAAAAAATGCTGGCCACACTCCATTAAACCATTAAGTTAGTTGGCTTCTCATTTCAGTAACAGGCTGAGCCTGCACTTCGAGAAATACTGGTCTAGACAATTTATAAAGTAGGCCGTGTGCTGTTCCTACTTTACAGGCGAGACGGAGAGACATGCCGAGAGAGGTGAAATGAGTTACCCCCTTTTCCCCCTCCTCCCAGCTTCACCTCAGGGCTTCTGACTAGTGTGCTGCTTTTCCCTTTGTCCTCTGCAGTCCTCCCATCGGCCTTAATCCCTCCTTCTCTTTGATTGTGAGACCTTGACCTTTGCCTGAAGCAGCTCTTCCTGCCTTTCCAGGTGAAATCCTACCAATCCTCCCAGGCCTATCTAGACTGCGATGTGCTCTGGGGGCCTCTTCTGTGGCGGGCTGCACTCGGCCTTCCTTTATCATTTCTGCTGTCCCACAACAGGCTCCTCTCCATGTGACCTCCTTCATAGCAGGTCTCATTTTTCTCACCTTCCCCCCCCCCCCCTCCATACTCCGGTGCTTTACAGAGTGCATATTCACAAACACATATGGAATTGACCTGAATTTGTAAGGGACTCACAGGAGAGGGGTGGGAGGAAGTGTTTCCTAGCCAGGACTGCAGGATTTAACAACATCTATTTAAAAGGAAAGATACCACTTTAGAAAAGATACCACTGAAAAAAGATCTCTTTACCTAGGTTATAAAAGTCACACATTAGGTAGAGGCTTCAATAGTATAAAAAGTATACAATCCAAATTGTTTCTCTCCTTAGCATCAGTAGATAGATTTAGAACCATGCCAGTTGGTCATGTGTTGCACGGAACTGACACGGTCAAAAGAATTCAAGAAAATGAGGGCCACCGTAGAAGACCCAAGGAAGTGCTGGATGGACCTGGGGCAGGACAGGAGCCAGAGGCCCCTGGGGACCTCCTCAGCAGCAGGGAGTAAGGGCCCCTTTGTAACAGCTATAATAGCGACCGTTACGATGGGAATGGCTCTACCTCACCCAAATGCAGAAAATCAGTTCAAATTCTCAAGAGAAAGACTCTAAATGGCACAGCCAAGTCTAGAATTCTCCATTCCTGCTTTAATTAGTTTGGGTTAACCTAGGGCTGTGCAGCTGGTGCAAATATCTAGGGAAGGAAGGAAAGAAACTCTTTGAAAAAGGAGATGAACTTCAATTAAATATTGACCCAAACTGGAATTTTAAGTTTAAATTTCATCCTACCACCAGAGATGATGGGGACTCAAGGCTAATATGAGGTCAATTACAAGTAGTTATATAAAGTACTGTATCTGTAATATAGTATAAAATATAATTTCAATCCTATTAAAGGTTTAAAAAAAAAACCCACATAGAATTTAGCTAATTTTAGCTAAGTTTCAGGGACAAAGAAATCTATGAGTTTATATATCTATGATACAAATAGATATACAGATATAAAGAAAACTGAATTCCTTACCCAGGTTTTTCAGACTTTGTTTTGAATTAGAAATTCTAATTCTCTAGGACTGGGGTAAGGTAGGAGGGACTGCATGCTCAAATAAGCACCCCAAATTCTGTTCAAGATGTGTCATATTGAGAAACTTGCTTAACCTGACTCCTTAGAGTAATTAAAAAGGGGCTCAACTTGCATCTGTTTTTAATTAGATAAATAAAACGTGGGCACACTACATGTGTAGTAACACTAAATAATAAGAGCATGTACAAATTTTAAAATCACATTTCTTATCATTGTTTTTAATTGCATTTAGTCACATAATTTATAGTAGCATAGGTTTATAAAAGATGTTTAAGACTGGTAACTTAGTCTTAGATTTTCTTTGAAAACGGATAATAAGGGAGTTGGTCATGAGTTAAAGAGTATTTCAGGATGACAAGTTGACTATAAACACAAAAGGTACACTGACAGCAATTCTACAAACAGCAAATATGAATGTAACTTATTTAAGCCTATTGGTTCACGTTTTTAAAAGCACCCTCATTTCTTTGAAGTTAAGTACTATAAATGGTTCATGAGAGTCTACTGTGGACAATGATATACTCAATCCACCTAGTTGGGGAGGTGGGGGTAGGGGTGAATTTATGTGACCATTCAATTTTGATTTGGGTTCAAAAAATCAAACTGTGTTCCAAACAGTCACAAGTAGCATCATCAGTTCCTCAGATAATACAGCTCCCAAGACTCTCATCCTCCCGGAGACCCCTCCTCTTCTGCTCTGATGTACACATGCCTTTCTTTTAAAGAAGCAATGAAAGTATAAAAGTTCACCAAAATTCTGAAAGTCACAGTTTGTAAAGCACTAAATGATAGTAGCTTTGGCATCTGATATTCCAGTCACTTTTGTTACAAATCTTTTCTTCATTCTGGGTCAAGGCGAGGTAAGACGGGAAGAATAAGATTCCCAAAAGCAGAGTCTTGAGTTATGAAGTATCCAGATGAGTGTGCATGTGCGTGCTAGGGAAGAGTTAAAAAAAGCAAAAGGCAATTAAGCTATTAGAAATCACAATTTTTCAACCAAGGCATTAAAATTACTTATCCTATCTGAGTGTTTAAGACCAAATTTATTTTAAAAATCAGTTCTGCTGCTAATTTTGTTTAAATACACAGGAGATGGACAGTAATAAAGAATTTATATTAACAAGCTGCACCAGGCACTCATTTGTCAGACCCACTCTGTCCTCTGTGATTCTCTAAAGTCAATAATGAGTCAAAGACATGAATTACTTTGTTCCCTGGAGTGGGGAAACTTGCAACAAAGACCCCCCAAATCTGCCTCTGATCAACAAAGCAGGAGCTTGAGAAAGAAGGCAGTAGTTGGGAAGGGAGTGGGGTGGGCAAGGGAGCTGATTACTGGTGATTAAGATCCCAACATTTTGTAGAGAATGTTGAAATGTAAGTAACAGAAAACCACCAGCGACCTCCCTCTGTCACTAGAGAAAGGAAGACTGTTTTTAGGTTGCCTTATGTGAGATGATCTTTCATGCCTCTTCCAATTCTGAGATTCAAAGTTTTAACAACATAGGTAATGATGGCTTATTCAAGGTCTCTGGGAATGTCAGTTAAACAATCCAAGATCGCTGTGATACTAAAACTGTTTATTACTATGAAGAACAGTATTTTTTAAACTGATGGATTATCATTTCCAGTGCAACAGGTATGCTGACTATTAAAAAGAGAATCCAAACAACAGTAAACCAGTAAGATTATCAAGGAGTGTAACAGCATGACAAATTTGAAAAAATATATGTATGTACTATTAAACTAGCCGGTTCAGCTTGTAAGATCCTTCTGTCCGTCCAAATATCCTTGTACGCAAGCAACCCCTTGCCAAGGACAGTCCCGACTCACTGATGACCGTGTCAAACCACAGAGGATGCTTTCATTACTGCCGTATGGGTCCTTCCAATCCTCGGCCTGATGACCGAACATCAGAAAACCACTGCAGTTGTGTGTGGAACGTTTTTGTTGATACTGCTCCACTGAAATACAAACCAGGGACTGTGCTGGCCTCCAAGACCCGGGAACGCTCCAGAGGCCCGAGCGTCACTTCTACTTTGCTCACCTGCAAAGCCGCCTTTTGTTGGGCTGCAATATGCTGCTGCTCAGCATGATCCCGGAAGTCCTTATTAAGCGAGGCTCTCGAGAGTGCAATGCTAAAACGGGAATCTCAGTTACTTGGCTGTTTACGGCAGAAGAAACTCCCGTACTTCTGAATCGCATTTTCCATTATATATTCTTTATAGGGATTTAAAAACAACAAAAAAGGCCTCCCAGAATGTCTTTTTTTCCTTCTCCCACGGTTTATATTAATTTATATGAAGAAAAGCTTATGTTATTTTACTGGGGCTTCAAATTACCTCTGTTTTTTATTATTTTTTGGGTGATCTATGGTCCCCTGCTTTCAAACTGATTTGAGGTACTCCAGTCTATCTTAAGGTTGCATTTATGATGAAAACAGAAGCACTGAATGTTTCAGGCAGGAGGTACAGCAGGCAAAAAGCCCAGGGATAAAGAGCTTGGCGTGTCTGAAGAAATCAGGAGCTTGACAGGACTGGAGGTCAGGGTTGGAAAGGGGTGAAGTGGGTTGGCAGAAAATGACAGGGGGGGAGAGAAAGGCAGGTGCCCTGTGAAATAAATTAAGAAATGTAGACCTTATCCTCACAGTAAAGAGAGATTCCCAGAGAGTTTAATAAAGCAGAGGAGTGACATGATCACAAGTACCACATGAGGGCTCAGAAAGACCACGCTAGGCAGACTGTGCTGGTCACCTCGTCGTCGACAACTGTTTATCTCCCTATTTCCTTGCTAATGGAATCCAAACTTCATTCAAGTATTGGTGGTACCATGCTTCAGGGCTGGCCAGGCTCATCCCTCAGGGGATGATCGGTGTAAGACAATGCCATTCCCATTCCCTTTGTTGGTTCCTAGTTTAAGCAAGAGAAAGATACACAATTCTGGGCAGCTAGGCTTGACGGGCAGTCTGCTGGGAGGCTTCTGAGAACATTCTCCGCACTCTTACAAGAGAAATGTAGGACAGGAACCTTTCTGGCTTCGGCCTCTGTAGCTGGCTCAGTGTGGGGTGAGGCTGAGACTATGGCAGTCCTATCTGGAACATGAGGGAGCTGCTGGCCCACAGAGAAAGGCAGAAAGGAAGGCTGGAGGGAGGCCGGAGCACGGCTCACCCCGCTGGCCACTACATGAAGCCACTCCGGAACCACCGGCTCTTCACCCTCCTGGGAAACATCCATCCTAGCGTGTATGCCAATTTTCTTGGTTTTCTGTTACTTCCAGATTAAAACATCCTAACCGACACAACTGCTAAATATATTCAGGAGGACTGAAGACTACAGGAAGTTCAGTGAGGAAGCAGCTATCGGAATGGAAGTGGCCAGGACGAGGGTGGCATCAGTAGCCATGAAGAAAAATAGGCAGATCGGAGGCATGTTACATGAAAGGGAATAACAGATGAAGTCCACACTTCTGAGGACTAGTAGATCGGTGCCATTCGCCAAGACAAGGAACCCAAGGATAGTAAGTAGTGAGTGAGAGCACGGGAAGGGAAGAGGAGTTCAGCTTGGGCCACACTAAGTTTGAAATGCCTAAGGGACATGAGGATGGAGCTACCCAAGAGGCAATTTGGGACGTGGGAGAAAAGACGAGATAAAACTTATCGGCACATAAATAACAGGTTGTGGAAGTGGAGGCAACTGGCCAGTGAAAAGCTGTGTGAGGACAGGAAACTGGCTGTAGGACCGGACTCTGAAGGGCACGGACATTCACGACACAGGCAGCGGAGATGCGTCTGCAAAAGAAACCAAGACCGTGTGGCACAGAGCCAGTGGAAGCCGAGGAAAGAGAGTATTTCAAGAAGGACAGAGTGATCAGTGGTGTCAAACAACACTAAGACGTCTAATAAGAGAAGGCCCTCGGCCCACCCGATTTAGCTACCACGAGGCTGCAGGTGACCGAGGCAAGCACCTCCTCTTAGGAAGGGGAGAGTGGATCTCGAGTGAGATTGAAGTGCGCTGAGGAGTCAGTGAGTGAGAAAGTAAAGGTGAGGACAGACAGCACTTTCAGGAGGTCTGGCTGAAAGAGGGGGCAAGGCCAGGGCGGTGGCTAAATGCGATGGAAGGAGGCAGAAACTGAACACAATAAAGATGAAGCCCTCTACATTTTACCTGCTTTGCAGAATGCTTAAAAAGGGGGACGCTGACAATAATTTCAGCAACAAACAAAAACCATACAAAACCCTTTTCTTTTTTTAAAAGTAGGCTCTGGGGACCATTAAATATTCTAATTAGAATTAGAATATTTAAGATCTAATCACTTCATCTAATTTTTTCAAATCTAACTTAAAGAAACAAAACATGTAAATTGCAACATTACAGAGACAAACGTCTGCCAACCAACTTGAGGTATTTTGTCCAAGATCTTTTTTATATCACTGAATATGAAAACCACATTATTCTTCAATACCTTGCTCCAGGATGATTAGTTGAAGATTGGTTCTGCATTAGTAATTTTCTTTTCTCTTTGTCCAGTTCTGCCAAGATTGCAACCCTGTTTTTGTTTTGAAAACCTAAAAAAAGGGGTGGGGGGAGGAGAGACAGAGAGAGAGAGAAAGATAAAAACATTTTAGAGCTATTTTTATAGACCCAGGCCATCTAAAAACCCAGCAAGCAAATTCTATTCTCTAAGAAGATAATGAACCCACTAGCGAATAGTTCCCCTAGATGGTTACACCGTTTTCCTACCGCTTCCCAGTGACTTTACCAGCATAGCCCATGATGGATGCAAAGCAGAATACTGACTGAGGATTTTGAAGACTTAGTTTTAAAGAACTATAATCACCAAGGTTTTCAGGAGGAAAACAGCAACAGACATGCTCACATCCAAACAATATTTCTTTTTCGTTGTCAACTGCTTTCCTTCAGAAGTGACAGTCTTTTCAAGGGACAAGTCAAAGAACTGCAATGGATTACACAGCAATTCTGAGAAAGAAATGGAGCTTAACAGATGGGGCACAAAAATGTGTGTCCTTCATCAACTACTTAATACTGGGCCTGATTTTGATCTTCAAATTTTATAAGATCTAGAGCAGAGGATGCAAAGTCCTGGCCCAGAAGCAGCAACCCAACTAGGTTTTATAATCTGAATTAGGGGCACCTGGATGGCTCAGTTGGTTAAGAATCCTTTTGATTTCGGCTCAGGTCATGATCTCAGGGTCACAAGATCGAGCCTCACATTTTCAGCATCACACTCAGTGGGGAGTCTGCTTGAGATTCTCTCCCTCTGCCCCCCCCCCACCGTGCTCTCTCTGAAATTAATTAATTAAAATCTGAGTTAAATGCCAACATGTAAACACTGAGAGAATGTAAACAAAATCCTCAGATTTCTTGCTTCTCTTGAAACATCTCAAGCACTGGCAACAAGGGATATGGATATCCCCATGGTAAAAATTAACTAGAATGAAGAAATAATCATCACTGTTTCATCACATTAAAAAGACACTGGGCGGGCGCCTGGGTGGCTCAGTCGTTAAGCGTCTGCCTTGGGCTCAGGTCATGATCCCAGGGTCCTGGGATCGAGTCCCACATCGGGCTCCCTGTTCGGCAGGAAGCCTGCTTCTCGCTCTCCCACTCCCCCTGCTTGTGTTCCTGCTCTCGCTATCTCTCTGTCAAATAAATAAATAAAATCTTTAAAAAAAAAAAAAAAAGACACTGGGCACTCTCTAGCTTATTACAGCCCTTATCAGACTTGTTTATATGCCTGTGGGCATTTGAGTTTGATCCCTAATTTAGAAAAAAACAAATGGAAAGATAAAAGGCTAGAAAACAAAGCCCAAAGTGAGTTCTCTGTAAAGTGAAGAATGCTTTCCAAGGGAAAGTAGCACTCTCCCATTTGTATATATGAAGATGCATATATAAAAAGCAAGTTACACCATTAGGTGTATTTCTAACTATAGGACAAGACTTTTTTCCACTTCTCAGAAGAGGCTAATGCATCCTTAGAAGATAATTACGTAGTTCCATCTTTGTAGGAATTTAGAGACACTGTAGATATAAAATCTGATAGTGGTGGGACACCTGGGTGGCTCAGTCAGTTAAACATCTGCCTTCAGCTCAGGTCATGATCCCAGGGTCCTGGGATCGAGCCCCACATCGGGCTCCTTGCTCGCGGGGAGTCTGCTTCTCCCTTTGCCTGCCACTCCTCATGCTTGTGTGCTCGCTCTCTCTGACAAATAAATAAATAAAATCTTTAAAAAAAAATCAACAGTGTCTAAATTATGTGATGAGCAAAATAAATAACCACACTCAAAAGTACTGGTGTGCTGTTTATGGAAATACCCATTTCTCTCAAGATTAATTTGTTCACAAATAATATTTTAGGGTCACTATCAGTAAAGAAATTGTATATAGATAGAAATTGTATGTACAAAGCATTAAAAAGACTATATGAAGATAATTTGATAAATAATGTTCAGATAAATACAAGCACAACTGAGCTTTCCAATGTTCTTCAATGTGTTTAAGCTTACCTATATTATTTTAAATGGCTGTCCTCTGTGAAAAGGAACCAGAGTTCTAGGAAGAGTACTAGTTGCATGTCTTAGGGCAAGAAAAAAAAAAATCAAGATGTGCCTGGAACATCTTGTTGTCAGAAAGCAAGAAGGTTTTTTTTCTTTTAAACATCCAGGGTAGTGCTGAAAGAACAAAGAAGCCAGGCGCCTGGGTGGCTCAATCGGTTAAGCGTCTGCTTTTGGCTCAGGTCATGATCTCGGGGTCCTGGGATCAAGCCCCATACTGGGCTCCCTGCTTAGCGGGGAGTCTGCTTCTTCCTCTCCCTCTGCCCGTCCCCCTCATTTATGCTCTCTCTCTCTCACTCTCTATCAAATAAATAAAATACTTAAAAAAAAAAGAATAAAGAAGCGCATTTGAGGTTAGCCAGGCTGTCACATTTGGAACATTAAAAAGAGAATAATAACTATAGCTAAATGGAACAAATTAAATCTATGATAAGCCATGACTCCATAATAAGATACAAAAGGGAAAGTTAAAATACATAAAAATATAGTTGTAAAGAAGGGTGAAAATAATTATTATAATTAATAATTAGGTCAGTTGTAATAATCACAGTTAATAATTAGGTTAGTGTTAACATTTAGGGATTTGTTTCTCCTATTAAGTATATGTCTGTTTATAAAGTATAGCTGCATACTTTTTTGTTTAGGTACACCGAGGAAGGGGTAGATACAGGGAACTGGGGCTAAGCCAAACAGTTCCAGAAAAAGCATGTTTGGGACCAAGAACAAGAGAGGTGGATTCAGCACAGGTTCTCTCTCTCTCTCTCTCTCTCTCTCTCTCACACACACACACACACACACACACCATTTAACAGGAGCCCCAGTGGTGATGAGCACCCATGTCACACAAGGACCAAGCAGAAACTGTGAGTTCTAACTGGATGAGTTAGTGAAATTCCTAAAGAGAGCTAACTCTTAAGACCTAATGATCCCTGACCTCTTGGGAGATGAAATGCATTAAATCCTGGCAGTAAAGCTACCAGAAAAGGGCAATTCATAACGAAAACAAAACACGGAAGTATTTCATTTAGGGACTAACTCCAGGCTGCAAGAAATTAAAAATCTATGAGACAAGCGTGAGCTTAAAAAATCCCATTAACTCAGCAGGTAAAGTTTAATGATAGAAGGGACCCAGTGCACAACAACACAGCTTTTGTATCATCTTTAAAGGCATAACCAAATCTTGCGTTTTGGCTGAGAATCAAACTTATCAAAAAACACTAAATCTTGACTTACCTGAAATTTTGTTTTGTTTTGGTAGTGGTAAGATTACTGTAACCCTAGGAAGGTACAGAAAGATTACTATAATCCTGGGAAAGTACAGAAATAAGAATCTGGGAAGATTATTATATCCCCAGGAAGAAATAAAAAAAACAAGTACAGAAAGAGTAAGTTAATTAATTAAACCCATGGATTAATATTTTAAAATAGATTTAAGTGTACTAAGTTTTGCAATCATTACAAAGTGAAGTATTACAGTCATATTATTTATAATTCTAATTTAAACTACTATAGAGAATTTAACAAAATAAGTTTATAATCAATCCTAAATGTTTAAAATTTTTTATTTTAGAAGTTACTTTATTAGATGAGTGTGGGCTTAATACACCATTAATCAAATTATGAGCAGTGATGAGTATTTTTCTCCATGCAGAGATCCCCTTGGACTTTAAAGAACTCATTAAAGTATTTAAACAAGGGGTCACCGGAGTGGGCTAGCCCATAGCCTTCCCTCCCTAGTAAAGATGGGATGATGCCTATCTCTGTATCTCATTTAGTGCCCCATACTCACACCCAGAACTCCGAGTTTTATCCTTATAACCCCTCCCTCTTACTCCCCACAGCTAACCAATCATCGAGTCCAGTGAATTTTATGTCCCAAATGTCTGCTAAAATAACCTCCCTTCTCAACTCCTTTTCCACAGTATAACCAAGCAAAATTATCTTTTGCATAATATTCTAGATATTAATGTGTATCTGCAGGCAGCTGAGAGCCACAAAAGCTACTTTCCAAAGAAAGGGTATGGTCAGATCTTTTAGGCTTTTATTTTCTGATCTTGTCTAATGTTCCTGAAACCTAAGCTTCCTTCTTGATTTTTTAAAAAATAATACAGTACTATTTTACATGTCTATTTTACACAAAACATTTACATTATAAAAGTATATAAAAGTCAACAGATAGCACTTAGGAGATAATAATAGCTTATTTCAAATTTGAAACTTAAGGCACAAACTAGGTAATCTATCTGGTTATACGAAGTATAATGTTCTATAGTAAGATTCTCCACCTTCAGGGTTTATACAAACGAACTCTAACTAAGACATCAATATATAACATTTAACTGTTTTATTAAACTCACTCTGCGAGTTTTTTTTTAAACATTCACCTATCTCTTGCCATAATTTAACATTTGATTTTTACATTCTTTTACACATATCATAGTTACATGTAACTTTTACATTCTCAGAAGCATGAGAGTGTTAAAGATATATCTCATGTATAGTACTTAATATTCCTTTATAATTAACCTTTTTCCTAATAAAATTATCTTAGAATAAGGCAGCACACTCTAAACTACTTCTACTTTTAGAACTATAACCCTATCTCCATTCACAATCATATATATTTTCATTTCTACATCCATTCATAGAAACATATAACTCCCACACATTTTTTTTTGTCACTAAAAACATTCCCAAGGAACTGGCATCACATCAAATTGCATTTAAAACCTAACAGCTGATAATCACTTTACATGAATAGCTCTATCACACTTAAATAAGCACTAACTGGAATTCTTTTTATTGGAAAAAAAATCTAAAGCTAAAGAATGAAAATTACTCTAAAATATTACTCAAATCCTTTCAAGTGGTTATCCTACAGGCTATATATTCTTTACAACTATACATTAAATCAACATATCATACTTAAGGTACCTGTTCAGTATTAAAGGAAAGTCACTGTGGCACCATTAGTTTAACATGTTTTAAGTTATTTACTGAATCAACATATATTTATTGTGTGTTCATCATATACAGGCACTAGAGAGGTTCTAAGGATACAATGATGAGCCAAAGCTGGACATGATTCTAGCTCTCATGGTTCTCAAACAGTCCAGTGAGGATAGAGATGATCAAATAATTACAGCAATGAATGTATACTTAGAATCTAAGATGAGTAGTCTGAAATAAAGAAAGAAAATTCTATAAGCATTTATAACAATCCATTACTGTGGGAATCAATGTTGAATAAACTTGACCTAGGCTGGGAGTAGGGGGAGCAGTGAAGGCTTCCAGAGAAAGTAATGCCTGAACTGAAATCTAAAGGACAAATAAGTTCATTAGGGGTCGGCGGAAAATAACACCTTCCCCTGTAACAAAAGCACTGTAGCTGCAGTGTTGAGAACAGACTAGACAAGAAGAAACAGGAGACTATGACAGTAGAACAAGCTAGAGATGGCAAAAGTTGTTATGGCCCAGGGAATGGAAAGATAGGAACATATCCAAGAGCTATTTAGGAAGTTAAATCAACAGGACACTGACAGAGTAAAGATTAAGTAAGGAATGACAAAGAAGGTGTCATGGATGGCTCCTAGATTTTTGGCTCATATAATTAAATGGTGAATTATTTCTATTGTTCTATTGCTGCTGTAACAAATTACTACAAACTTAGTCTCTTAAAACAACACAAATCTATCATCTTACAGTTCTGTAGTTCAGTGGTCTTACTGGGCTAAAATCAAGGGCTGCATTTCTTTCTGGAGCCTCTGGTGAACAATCTGTTTCCTTGCCTTTTCTAGTTTCTAGAAGCTGCCTGAGTTCCTTGGATCATGGTACCCTTTCTCTGCCTTCAAAACCAGCAACACTGTATCTCTCTGACCCTTCTTCTATCATCATTTCTCTGACCATAGCTAGGGAAAAAATGTGCTACTTTTCAGGACTCACTAGATTAAAATGGGCCCACCTGGATAATCCAGGATAATCTTCCCATCTCAAGGCCCTTAACCTTAATCACATGTGCAAAGTTCTTCCTGCCAGAGAAGGTAACATAGTCACAGGTTCTGGGGATTATGAGGTGGGCATCTTTGGTGGTGGGTGTGGGGAGGGGATCATTTTGCCTACCACATTCCCCAATAATATATGTATTCAGTGGTTAAAGCTTAAACCTCATCCAGAGGAGACTGCTTGATGTCTAAGTCTTAGCAGAATAAAAGCATATAACATTATTAAGTTAACGTGAGTTGATTAGTACCAATTAGTTTTTTCGGTATCTAGTTAATGGCAAACACTTCTTGTATCTGGAGAGATTGAAAAATTATTCAACTCAGGGCACCTAGGTGGCTCAGTCGGTTAAGCATCTGCCTTCGGCTCAGGTCATGATCTTAGGGTCCCGGGACCAAGCCCCGCGTACTCCCTCTCCCTCTGCCCCTCTCCTCGTGCTCGCTCTCAAATAAATAAATAAATAAATAAAATCTTAGAAATTATTCAACTCTTAGCTACTTTTTGGACTTTACTGAAAATACATATCAAAGGAAAGGAATGAACCCTAATATCTGCTCAGGTGACCTCCCTGTTTTCAAGTTCTCGCTCCGTCAAGGACTTACTCCTTGTAATCTACTGCCACTTTCTCTACCCATTTGAGGTTTCCCTTCTTCAGGACTGGCTAACTAAGAACATGAGTTATCTTCTGCTTGAACCAACCTTTCCTCATCACTCATTTTTCCTCTTACAGATAAACTCCCAAGCCCATTTCATTGCAAGGATTTTCTGCTTAATAACAGGTGCAGAAGAGATACAAAGATTAAGAATAAGAAGTCTTTTGCCCCTATTCTAGAGCTCCCAATTTTTTTCTTAGAATTAGAATTTTCTTAATTAGAATGTTCTAATCCCTCGGCTAAAGTGCAGTATGGAAAAACAATGAACAGGGTACTGGGTAGAGAAGTAATCTGACTTCTCATATCACTACTACCAGTTACTATTTAATATTGGGAAATTATCTCACTAGACAGGACCAGAAGAGACAACAGTAACAGCTTCGAAGGGTGGTTATAGGAGGTACAGAAAGTAGAAGTAAGACACCTAGCATGCAGCACGCCACATGGTAGTTGCTTAATACTCTTATTGTCATTCTCTAGCATTCTGCATTAGTTAGTTCACATCACTGGATTCTTCTCAGCCCCATTCTGCCAATTCACTTTCAGTGAACAGTGTTTCATTACAAAGAATACAACTGATCAGCATGCAGCTTTCTAGGTTACACTCGCATGACAGGCCTCCCAGGCCAGTCTCAATGGGCCTGGGAATCTCAAGCTCTCTCCTAACTATACACAAGATCTGAAGCTCCTTTACGACATATTCTGCCTCAACTCAGTTTAATTCCTATTTCAACCTGGGGCCTACAGATCATTCCTAGCACATCAGAAAAATACTGTATTCTGCCTTTGCAGCTAAAAATGAGACAAAAAGAAATCTAGCTTTAAAAACCTACCGCAAATTGCATCCACACTCTCCTCTTTAAAAAAGTACAAACACAAGAATTTTAAATTATTTTTACACAGGGGCGCCTGGGTGGCTCAGTCGTTAAGCGTCTGCCTTCGGCTCAGGTCATGATCCCAGGGTCCTGGGATCGAGCCCCGCATCGGGCTCCCTGCTCCACGGGAGGCCTGCTTCTCCCTCTCCCACTCCCCCTGCTTGTGTTCCCTCTCTCGCTGTGTCTCTGTCAAATAAATAAATAAAATCTTAAAAAAAAAAAAATTATTTCTACACATCAGCGTAAATTTTAATTTACATTTAATTTACATGTTAATTGAGAGGTAGCATACCTTGCTTTTCTTCTGGACCATAGATAGTTTGGAGTAAGACTTGTATTTGGGCCTGAGGCCAAGCAAGATACCTCCCAAGAGCTACGCCACCCCACTCCTACAAAGCACCCTGAAATCACAGCTAAGAGCATCCAGAATGGCCCCCAAGTCAAAAGTTCCCACCACCTGATCTGCAGGGCTTATAGTTATTACTATAAACATTTTAAGATAACTAGAAAATAAAAGAATCAAAAAAAATAATTCACATTTCTTACTCAGTATTTCACTAGGTTTCTGTGTGTCTGAAATCAGGTGCCACCACATGATCATAGGACCTTGATATTTACGAATAATGATTCTTTTACATAGTCCGTTGGCCAAATTCCAATTTGAGAATCTGCCTCTACATATTAAAATTCTCAAAATGTTACTTATCAATCAGGTAGTTATTAAGAACCAACCAAATGTTCCATAATACAATGGATGGTAAGGAGGAGACTTCAGTGACTGTGTGCCAAGAGCTTATGAAATTTAGCAGTCCTGATTGCTAGCACAGTATGACAGACTGCTAGATCTGCTAGAGGGCTCAGCGAATACCACAGGATTCTGTCTCCTACACCAGAGACATTAACAAATGGCAATGTACAGTTCAGGACTTTTTTTAAAGTCATGGTTCTTTCAGCAATCATTGTAAGATAATTATGGCACTTGGCATTCAATCTCTGTATTAAGTAGTTCCTATACATATAAAGAGTACAGAAATAATTTAATATAGAAAGTAAAATGCAATAGATCCAAATAGATGAGAATTTTAAAATTTTCACTGGGCGTCTATAGAGCATGATATGGACTCCCTCTGCTGGTGCCTAATACCAGCTCAGGACACCAACAAAATCACTGACAAAAGAACAGAGGCCAAAGGCTCATCTAAATTCACTTCTGTTTAGATTAGAGGATGTTTCACAGCAGACATGATTATGGATCAATCAAAGGCAACCCTAGAAATGATTGCGTTTTATTGCAAATGCTAAAAAAATACATAAATAACCAGCAAATTGTAAATCTCAATTATTGTGCTATTAGAACAGATAACTTAAAATTTATTTTCATCTGGACTGCACTGTGTGATTTTTAGCAGCATATCTTCCTTCCAAAATAGATGTCTCTCTGTTTTCATTTTGGTTCAAATTAAATTATTTTTCATCTGATAACCTGATGAAAAGAAGAGATCAAAGGTCAGAAGCGAATGTTGACCTGTGATTAATCCATAGAGCACACAAATCACACATGGTTATTTGAGAGAACAGAACGGTATGAGCTAGTTACAACTGTCAGCATAGCTAGCTTTTTACAATACTACCATAAAACTCATGCAACCTTTCGTGTGCCCTAAATGCTATTAATATACTAAAATAGATTTATATATAATGAAAACAGCAGACTTCCAACTTCCAGTAGTAGCAGAGTAGTTTGGTTAGACGGAACCCTGCCACAGTATAATTATAAATTCTGGACAAAAGATTAAAAATTCATTATTTGAAGGCACTAGAGACTGACCAAAATCAGGCAGAAACTGCAACTAGAGATTCAGGAATTTGTGACCTTTTTTTCAATCCACAAACAGTTGGGACAGCCTCACCTTACTGGCTTTGAGTTATCAGAGGACAGTTCAGGCTTGCAGAGTAGCCAGAAAACGAGGGGAGAAACCCCAGAGGGAAAGGTAGAAGGAATAAAGCCCCAAACATGCCTATACAATCCACCCAATGTTTCTGCTTCCTGCCAGGGGGTCCAGCAATAAAGCAGCAGTTGGAAGCTGAAAAGACTGAGCAGAGATTTCAGCTACTGCCCAACACAAGGAAGACAAGAGTTTGCAATTTGAGTTGAGTTGAAGGCTTGCACTTGCTAGAACAAAAATCACATTTCAGAGCAATACAAAAGAATCCAGAGTCTCTACAATATATTAGTCATAATATCCAATCACGAAGTATAGCCAAAAAAAGGTGATTCGCACTCAAAAAAAAATGCAGTCAACAGAAACCAACTCCAAGATGACCCAGATGATGCAATTAGCAGCGACAAAGGACCTGTATCTAGACTCTAAAAAAAAGAAAACTTAATGATAAAAATAAACCAATTTTTAAAAAAAATGAGCAAAAGACTTAAACAAGTAAAAAAAGAAAAAAGATTTACAATGGCCAGTAGGTACAAAAAAAGAGCTCAACATTTGTCATCAGGGAAATGCAAGTTAATACAATGAGATGTCACTTTACCACTAAAATGGCTAAAATTAAGACGACCTATAACACTATATATAGAGCACCCAGAATTTTCACATGTTGCCAGAAGGAATGTAAATTGGTACAGCCAGTTTGGGAAAAGGTTTGGCAGCTTTTCAAAACATTAACAATATACTCAGCTATTAATCCACGTATCTACAAAAAGACTTATAAACTAATATTCAAAGCAGCTGTATTCACAATGGCCAAAACTGAGATGACCCCAAAGCTCCTGAATGGGAGAATGAATTTTTTTAAAAATGGTGGTAAATACATACAATAGAACACTACTCCACAAGAAACAGAAGGAGCTATTGATATATGGCACAACATGGATGAAACTCACAGTGTAGTGAGTGAAAGAAGCTGGACACAAACAAGTACACACTCTATGATTACATTTATATGAGGTTTAAGTTAAGATAAAACTAAGGTAAAAAAAAATCAGAACAGAGTTAAGTAACAAAAAAATATGGGTCAAACAAGAGTTTAGAGTTGATAGGGAAAGGAAATAGAGGTTTGCTTCAAGTTTTGAAACAGGACATAACTTCCAAAGTGGGATTTAATACTGTCTTGAGATTAAATTTTATTTCTTAAAGCTTACTTTTAAATAAAAACTTCTCTAGGATGTGTCTGATCTGATGTGCTTTAGAGAGCTTCTAAACAGAGGTAATGTGTATGAAAGTTTCTAGAGCAAATGAAGATAAAGGCATGGATATTGCCTGGTGACAATATAACTCTTTAAAAGTGGTTCTGATTTCAAATAGAAGAGAACACAGATGTCAGAGGAGGGCCTAAGGTTTACAATGTGAATAATCTTTTTATTTTATTTTATTATTTTTAAGATTTTGTCAGAGTGACAGAGCGCGCACGAGCAGGGGGGAGGGGCAGAGGGAGAAGCAGGCTCCGAGCTGAGCAAAGAGCCTGATGTGGGACTCGATCCCAGGACTCTGGGATCATGACCTGAGCCGAAGGCAGATGCTTAACTGACTGAGCCACCTGAGGGGGTCCCCAATCTTTTTTTTTTTTTTAAGAATTTTATTTTTTTATTTGAGAGAGAGAGCAGAGCAAGAGAGAGAGCACGAGCAGAGTGGAGGGGCAGAAGAAGAGGGAGAAGCAGACTCCCCGATGAGCAGGGAACCTGATGTGGGGCTCAATCCTAGGACCCCTGGGATCATGACCTGAGTCGAAGGCAGATGCTTAACCATCTGAGCCACCGAGGCGCCCCCGTTTGTGAATAATCTTAACACACGTCAAAACGTAGGATTAATAGCTATTAAGAATGTTATATATCTGACACAATGTTGGACTTACTTCAAATACAGGGTTTTTACTTTGCTATTCATTTTTTATTCTGACTACAGTAACTGCCCTATCCTAACTTTTCTATTAAAACACGTTTATCAAAGGGGGGAAAAAGTTCCTAGTAATAACAAGTTCCAGCATGCATTACCTTGTCCTGAAGGGTTTGCTGCCATATCTTCCTATTTTGTTTCAACTATGCTCAGTGGCAACTGGTCAGCACTTTACAGTCACCTGTAAAAAATATGTGTACACATATATAAAATGCATCACACTTTAGTAACAAACTAAAAGCTGTCAGGAACAGCTAGCCTCCCTACAATGAAATGTTTTCAGTTTTTCATCGCTTCAGAAATACACATCTGAAAAGCGCACAGACTTAAATCACAAATTTAAATTCTGCAAGCCCCTCAAGTATTTAATTAGAACGTTAAATGTTTACTCTTGCAGATGCTGATACCAACATTTAGCACTGCTGTCTTTAATATACACCATTACGTTGTATTTACCAAACACTACCAAATGTATCAACCAATTGATAGCATCAATACGATCACTGCTAGACAGAAAAAAAAAAATTCACTTAAAAAATATATCCAGCAACTACTGTGTATACTGAAAGCTAAAAAGGAAAACACGCCTAGAATTTATCAAGTACATACTCTGCACCCATACACTGCGTAAGATGCTTGAAATTCTTTTACTTATCACCGTTTTATAGATGGGGAGATCCGTGCCCAAGCCCATAAAGCTAGTAAGAATACTTGGAGCTGTTAGTTTCCAACTTTGTGGGTTTTGTATTAGGCCTTGGGGAGATCGCAAATGAGCAAAGACCCTACTCCTCCCTTCAAGGAACACACAGTTCCAGAGGGAAAATATACTCTCATTCAAACAACCTTACTAAAAAGTTTAACAAACGCGCTCTTTAAAAGGCGCAAACAGTGCTCCGGAAGCAGAGAGGAACTGATTCTATTGGCGTGATGAGGGATGCCTTTAGAGGAACCCGGGCAAAGTACAAGGGCTGGCAAACACATTTTGGGTTTGAACAAAGTATCCTTACGTGCTCCTGCGGCAGAAGCACAGGGCGAGCCAAGCCGGTTGGGACGAGAGGAAAGAGTGCCATCTAGTGAAGGGAAACATAAAGCAGGGATGAGACAGGGCGGCACCTGCGTCTCAAAGGGTCCTTGCTGGAGGGCGTGGAGGGCAGGCTGGGCGGCTGCGGCCGACAACATCCAGAGAAAGGGAAGTGAGGAAGTTGGGGAGGCCGCTACCCTATGGCAACAAAGACAGCAGCAGCAGATCAGCGCCGGGGCCACACACTCCCCTCCCCCGGCGCCGTCAGGCGGTCCTACTTACCAGGGCCAATAAAGCGCCCAGGACCCTCCTCGCCTTGGGATCGCTCTCTCAAAGGGGGCGCGACCACTTAGAGACCTGCAAACAGAGCCCAACGTGCGGTTCTACAACCTTCCCGCCCCCGCTGCGCTTCCGCCTCCTGCCTGACGTACACCCGAAGGAGCGGAAGTCCCGCCTCCCGCCGGCGCCCTGCAGCCCCTGTCCGCCGCGATCCGTCTTTTAACTGCTGCCCGGGTGCAGAAGGCCACTTCCTTTCCGAAGAGTGGCAGCCGAAGAGGCTCATGGGAGATGCAGGCCGCGCTGTTGGGGGCGGGGCCCGAGTGGGGCGGGGCCCAGGCGGGGCACGGAGACGCTTGCCGCTGGCTCGGCTGGGCAGGGGCGGGGCTGACACCAGCTGGGTCCCTAGCACCGCGAGTGGCCCTTTTCTCAAGGCTGTTCAGAGAAAAGTCACCAGCCCGGCCAGGCCTGCGACGATAGGATTGCACTTCGACTGGGATGAGGGGAGGGCCAATCTTCACAGGCTGGGCTGGCTTTCGAGATTCAACAACCATCTGAGGTTGTGCGCCCACACACATCCACAAATCCCAGGGATTTTTTTTTTTTTTAATAGTTCGCATAATTATACATAAGAAAAGCACAAAACATGCAGAAGTTTTTGCTACTGTGCAATAATCTGTTCAAGAAATGGCTGTGCCACATCTCAGAACACGAAGACCCTCCTAGTGGGTTCACTTGATGCATGATTCCAGTGCAACGAATCTACATATTTACACTGGAAGGTAACCATGTATTGATGTGTACCTGTTCCGTGGTCGGTAACCACCGATACGCATATTTTCTAGAATTTGAACATACATTCTTAATAATCGGTGTTTGCTCAATGGTAAATGTTTACAATGCACAATTTTGTTGTGCACGGATCTAGGACTGAAGTAGTTACACTATCAAGCATTTATTGAGTGCCTTCTGCACGCTAGGTTCTTCTTGTGCATGAGTTCTGGTCCTGTCATTTCCTGATTTATATATGATTTATATTTACATATTTATATATGAAACTTAGAAATGTTGGGTTACTTTATGTCAAGTAACAAGCTGAGTTTCAAAGGAGTAAATATTTGCCAGATGCTAAGGCCCACATTCTTAAATCTCACGCATTGTCTCTTGCTCTGGAGGAAGGAATTTCTTTGAGGCCAGCTTTTGTTGGCATCTTTAATACAGATACAAAGTGTAATACGTGAGCATTCTGGTAGTGGGCCAGGGCTGCTTTTCAATTAAGAGGCCTTTTTGAGGGGTGCCTGGCTGGCTCAGTTGCAAGAACACAGGACTCTTGATCACGGAGTTGTGAGTTGGAGCCCTAGGTTGGGTGTGGAGATTACAATCAATCAATATTAAGAAGAAGAAGAAGAAGAAGAAGAAGAAGCCTGTGGTGCCTGGTTGGCTCAGTTGGAAGAGCACGGGACTCTTGATCTCAGGGTTGTGAGTTCGAGCCCCATGTTGGGTGTAGAGATTACTTAAAATAAAATAAAATAAAATCTTTACCAAAAAATGGGGGGCATTTTTGAGTCCTGAACTGACTAAAAAGACAGCTGGGATGTATATGGCTGACAAAACCTTAATGATTTTTTTTTTTTTTGGTGTTAGGTGGCCTGACTAGACAATACAGAAACCAGGGTATAAGAAAGCTCCAGTCTAAGTCCGATTTGTTTAAGTTTTTATTTAAATCCCAGTTAGTTAACATACAGTGTAATATTAGTTTCAGGTGTAGGATTTAGTGATTCATCACTTACATACAACACGCAGTGCTCATCACAAGTGCACTCCTTAATGCCCGTCCCCCATTTAGACCATCCCCCACTCACCTCCCTCCAGCAGCCCTCAGTTTGTTCTCTATAGTTAAGAGTCTGTTTCCTGGTTTGCCTATCTTTTTCCCCCCTATATTCATCTGTTTTGTTTCTTAAATTTCACATATGAATGAAATCATATGGTATTTGTCTTTCTTTGACTTATTTTGCTTAGCATAATACCTTCTAGCTCCATCCGTGTTATTGCAAATGGCAAGATTTCATTCCTTTTAATGGCTGAGTAATATTCCATTGTGGATGTATACCACAACTTCTTTATCCATTCATCAGTCGATGGATATTTGGGCTCTTTCCATAATTTGGCTGTTTGTTGATAATGTTGCTATAAACATCAGGGTGCACGTGTCCCTTTGAGTCAGTATTTTTGTATCCTTTGGGTAAATACCTAGTAGTGCAATTGCTGGATCATAGGGTAGTTCTATTTTTAGCTTTTTGAGGAACCTCCATACTGTTTTCCAGAGTGACTGCACCAGTTTGCATTCCCCCCAACAGTGCAAGAGGGTTCCCCTTTCTCCACATCCTCCCAACATCTGCTGTTTCCTGTGTTGTTAATTTTAGCCATTCTGACAGGTGTAAGGCCATATCTCATTGTAGTTTTGATTTGTATTTCCCTGATGATGAGTGATGTTGAGCATTTTTCATGTGTCTGTTAGCAATCTAAGTCCTAATGGACATTCTGAAAGAAGCTCATTTATGGAGAAAAGGAAAAAAAAAAAAAGAGTTCTACTTCCAGAACAATATTTTGTAATTTCCTGGCAAGTTCGGCTTCCAAGCATTGGGAGAATATTATCAGGAGAAAGATAAATTTAACTTGCTCCTAATTGTTTTGCCCTTTACTTGGTGGGTGTTAGCCCTTGAACTCCCTTTGTCTTCTCCTTGAGAGTTTTGGAACTTCTGCCTCACAAGAATTTTGACATCTTGGTTAAGAGTGGATCAGTTTACTTGGATTCAAATCCTGGCTCTAACACTTAATGACTGTGAGCCCTTGTTTAACCTTCCAGTGCTTCAGTTCTGTCATCTATAAAAAGGAAATAAAAATTAAATGAATAACCACTTCACATCCACTGGATGGCTACTATAAAAAACAAAATAAAATAATAAGTGTTGGCAGAGAAATTGGAACCCTTGTGCACTGTTGGTGGGGATATAAAATAGTACAACCATTGTGGAAAACAACATGACGGTTACTCAAAAAATTAAAAATAGAATCACCATATGATTTAGCAATTCCACTTCTGGGTGTATTCACAAAATTCTTGAAAGCATGGCCTCAAAGACATATCTGCACACCTGTATTCATAGCAGCACTATTCACAGTAGCCAAGAGGTGGAAGCAACCCACTTGTCCATCGGCAAATGAAAGGATAAGCAAAATGTGGTATAAACATACAATATAACATTATTCAGCCTTAAAATAGAAGGTAATTCTGACATATGCTACAGCATGCACGAACCTTGAGGACATTATGCTAAGTGAAATAAACCGGTCACAAAGGGCAAATACTGTGTGATTCCACTTATATGAGGTACTTAGAGTAGTCAAAAATCATAGAAAGTAGAATGGTGTTTGCCAAGGACTGGGGGGAAGGGGAGAATGGAGAGTTGTTGTTTAATGGGTTATAGAGTTTCAGTTTTACAAGATGAAAGGAGTTCTGGAGATGGCTGGCAGGGATTGTGGCAACTATGAAAGATCTGCATTTTCTTGCACACCTTGGTATTCAGTCATAGGTCAGATGATAAATACACAGATCCTACACATCAACTAGGGAAGAGTCCAAGACAAAAGGAATGCATAAGACAGTCCTGTGGCTCTGCTAATTGATAAGGAAATGCCAGGTAGCAGTCTATGAAGGCATTATGAATATTATGGGCCTTTAATATCAAAGTAGAGCGTTGAGAAGAGTTCCCACTTTCCACTGGAGCTACCTTAACTCTCTTTTGCTATTTTGTGATTAAATATTTATGGGAAATGCATTAAGCTAGAAAGCCTTTAAAATAAAGTGTGTAGAAGTTTGAGACAATTGCCATATTAATTATCTATTGCATGTAATAAATTACCTCCAAACTTGGCAAGTTTTTAAGAGATTTATTTATTTATTTATTTGCGAGAGGGAGAGAGAGCCTGTGCGCAGGAGAGAGGGGGGTGGAGCAGAGGGAAAGGGCGAGACAGAATCCCAAGCAGACTCCCACTGAGCACAGAGCCCAGTGCAGGGCTGGATCTCAGGACCCTGAGATCATGACCTGAGCCAAAACAAAGAGTCAGACACTTAACCAACTGAGCCACCCAGGGGCCCCCAAACTTGACAATTTATAACAACAAATGTACATTCTCTTACAGTTTCTGAGGGACTGGAATGTAGGCAGCACGTCTGGGTGGTTCTGGCTTAGGGTCTTTCGTAAGATTGCAGCCAAGATCCTAACTGGGGTTGTAATCATTTGAAAGCTCAGTTGGAGGAATGGATCTGCCTCAAGTTCACTCACGTGGCTGAGGGCAAGAGGCTTCAGCTCCTCAACCTGCAGGCCTTTCCACAGGGTTGCTCATGACATGGCAACTCACAGCTGGAGCACGTGATACAAGAGGAGAGAGAGTGACCAAGACAGAAGTTGCAGTGTCTTTCATTACCCGATCTTAGGAGTGACATACCATGTCTTCTGCCATATACTGTTGCTCACAGACGGGCCCTGGTACAGCCCTGGTACAGGGCAGAAGGGACTACAAAGCATACAGAGAGATAAGATCACTGGGGACTTAGTCCATTCGGGCTGCTATAACAGAGTACCATAGACTAGGTGGCTTCTAAAGAACAATTTTATTTCTCACAGTTCTGGAGGCTGGGAAGTTCAAGATCAAGGCAGCAGCATGATCTGGCTCTGGTGAGGGCCTGCTTTCTCATTCATAGACACCTGTCTTTTTGCAGTATCCTTATATGGTAGTAGTGTTGCCCAGTGGACTGGAGAGACCCTTGGGCCCTCAGGCCTCCACCCAGCCCATCCCCCAGATGTCACTGGAGGCTCTTGGTCTCCTGCAAGAGAGCATTCGAGGACAGACCAGACACGGGTTGAGCGGTGCAAGTGAAGAGTTTATTAAAGCGAGTGTATACTCTTTTTTTAAAAATTTTTTATTGTTATGTTAATCCCCATACATTACATCATTAGTTTTAGATGAAGTGTTCCATGATTCATTGTTTGTGCATAACACCCAGTGCTCCATGCAGAACGTGCCCTCCTCAATACCCACCACCAGGCTAACCCATCCTCCCACCCCCCTCCCCTCTAGAACCCTCAGTTTGTTTCTCAGA